AAGTAGAGGAATGATATACATGCCTGTAAGATGAGGCAATGCATTATGGCAATGAAAATATTGAACAAGACTTTTGAAGACTAGAATTTAAAAATAGTAGCCACAACATCAACAATATCAGTAATGGTAAGACAAGATAGAGACGGTATTGGAAATTGATTTAAAATTGACAGGCCAAGGTAGTGACTTTTTAAAAGGCTGTTTCACTGAATCTGCAAATGAAATTGGCTGAATTTTTAAAATGGAAATAAAAATGGCAAACTAAGAACGTCACCAGGATATTTTTTTCCTATTGAATTTATACAAGAAGCTTGTTAAAGCCTTGAAAAATTATATGGAATGGGCCAAAGAAGAAATGAAGAGAAATCAAATCCTATACCAATATTTGAATACACTAAAAATTTAAGATTATTAAAAGTAAAAGGAAGGAACACAAAATTGGCTTATTTGATCACGGTTAAAACAAGATATGTCATTACTCCTGGCTATTCTTTATGGACATTTTGCTTACACCAAAAGTGAAAAGATGATGTTTTATGGATTTATTTATAGATAAGAAATGGGATATGGAATGGAGAAATAAAAGTTTGTAACTTTAGAAAAAGTTGAGGAGTTACTAAATTAATTTATACTTGTGATTAAGGTTGGAAGTCACTTCTTTATATATTTCTTTTTCTTTATTACATTTTCTTTTCCCGCTTTCTTTGCATGTTTTTTACTCATTCCATTTTCTGTTCTTTCTTTAGGTTTAGTTTGTATTAGATTTTACTATTATAATCAACAATTTTCATTAATATTACATGTATGTATCTATGTCAAAGAAAATTACCATTGGGAGCCCTCTTTACTTTCTGAAGCTTATTTTCGAACAAAAGATCTATGAATCAAAGGGTTTTTCTATGTGATGTGAATACTGTACGAAAAGCTGCTTCAATAGTAGTAAATAGGATGTGCATTGCAGAGTGTTCTACAGGATAATAATTGAGGGCATTACTGACATGCCCCCCACATACATTTATTACTATGGTGCAGTATCCCTGATGGAATTGTGCACCTTAATTAATTCATCCGTAGTATGAAAGTACATGTCTGACATTTATGATTACTACCTCCTTCGTAAATCTTGTAAATTTTCTTCTAAGGATATGAGTGTTTAAGGTGATATTTATATCAACGTGTGATTTTAGAATATACTTACAGATACTTGCCATTAGTAGGATGCTGTAGCAAGACCATAAAAACAAGTACAGCTGGTCCTCGACTTACTACCACAATTCAGCCCAAATTTTCTGTTGCTATGTGAGACATTTGCTAAGTGAATTTTGGCCCATTTTATGACCTTTCTTGCCGCAGCTTTTAAAGTAAATCACTGCAGTTATTAAGTTAGTGACATGGCTGTTAAGTGAATCTGACTTCCCCATTGTCTTTGCTTGTCAGAAGGTCACAAAAGGTGATCACATGACCTTGGGATACAGCAACGGTCATAAGTATGAACCAGTTGCCAAATATCTGAATTTTGATCACAAGACCATGGGGATGCTGCAATGGTCATAAGTGTGAAAAACGGTCATAACTCACTTTTTTCAGTGCTGCAGTAACTTTGAACGGTCACTAAATAAACTGTTGCAAGTCAAGGATGGCCTACATGCTGTTTCATTTCTTCCACTCAACTTCTACTTCCAATGTAAGCAGCTAAGCAAACCAGGAAATCTCACTGATGATTAATTTGTCCTAACAACGTGTATATATTTCAGGGCTTCATGTATATAATATCAAACAAATGATAGGGAGTTTGGTTTGCTGAGCCACCTTTGCTAGCAAAAAAGAGTCCAGCGGGAGCAATTAAATAGATTGTACTAATTTGTTTGCTCAATCACACTAAACCAAAAGGCTAGAATTGCAAAAGAATTCTAATTAATTATTAGGTGTGAACGGGATCTTCATTTTAATATCAGTTGAGAAATTAAAGTACATGTATAGGGATCTAGCTCAGATTTTTAGTTTATATATTTACCAAAATATTGCATAGAGGAATCCTGCATACTATCTCAGGATTCCTTCCAAAAGAAGAATTCAATAAATTAAACGCAATTATGGAGCACTTAACAATTCTATGTCCCTGCTTTTCAAGCAGAAAACACAGGATATAATGAGCTAGAGAGAGGATTATCTTTAAAAGACATTTATCTGTGAAAGAATTTATGATATTCAACTAAATCACCAGGGAATTATAAAAGATTAATTTATATTATATTTCTTGGGGGAATATGAAGACATGCAGCTATAGGAGACACATCAGCAACTAAGGAAACGTGTCAGTTTGTCTACCTGCACAAATTTCCAATTATATGAGATTTGAACTTCAACAAGGCATAAAGATTATTGAAAATAAGATATTTTTGTTAAGTTTGATATCAAGGTTACTAATTTTAAAGGTGATAGCCAAATATTCATTATAGAAAGCTTTTCCCCCACCCCATGAATTTTCCAGAGTTGTTGTTGGATTCATTGATACATATGAACCATATGAAAAATGGTTGCAGGTTTTGGGTCTTGCTAGTCTAAAGAAAAGAAGAATTAGGGGTGACATGATAGCAGTATTTGAGAGGCTGCCACAAAGAAGAGGGAGTCAAATTGTTCTCCAAAGCATTGGAGGCAGGACAAGAAATAATGGTTGGAAACTAATCAAAGGGAGAAGCAACTTGGAATTAAGGAAAAACTTCCTAATAGGACAATTAACCAGTAGAACAGCTTGCCTTCAGAAATTGTGGGTTCTATTCTATTCTATTCTATTCTATTCTATTCTATTCTATTCTTTCCAATTACTGAATTCATTGTTCCTCTCCCTTTAGCATCCCATAACGTTTTTCCTTCATTAAGTAATCCAACTCCATTAAGTAACCCAAGCATCTTTCTCCGCTTTATTCTTCATTATAATTTGATTGTGATGATTTTTAAGTAATCACATGTTACCAAAATAGTTTGTTTCCTTTGATCATTTTGTGTAGTAGAAGTACTGTTGTGGGTGTGTATTGGTGTGTATGTGTGCTTGCACATAGTATGCCAATACCATTACAAGACAGAATAAGACTTTCAGCATAAACTTTACAAAGGGATGTAATGGATTTTTTTTCTGTGGATTTCTTTTTACCAATGCTCCTCTTATGCATCAATCTTTTTCACTTTAAGTCGCATATCCCTCTGAATGAGGAACTGCAAAGGAGAAATAAACCAAGACGGTGCTAGGCCAAATCATGAAAGATTCCACCCCGAGTTAGTTGTCTTGAGAGAAGCAGTTCTGCTTTTCAGCAAAAAAACCAAACGATTAAACCATGCAAAACCAGCCGGAACTTAGAAAAAGACACTCTAGTTTTTGACCTAATTTCCTCAGTAGAAATCTCTATAGCTATATGAGGAATTCTGGGAATTGAAGTCCACAAGTCTTAAAGTTGGGAAGTTTGGGGACCCCTGCTCTATGGCAAAATAGCTCAGTGTCCTGTTTGCTTCAAAAATATTAGCGTTGCACCTGTCTCTTATAATGTGTTCCATCTACTATACTTTTTTCAATACTCTTGCTTCAAACAAGCTACCACATGAAGATAAGGTGTTGCTGTTCTTTGTCATCTTGCCTATTGTGTGCCAACAGGTGTTACAGAGCAGAATGCATTAGTTTTCTATGAGTGATTGGAGCTCTGTAAAAAAAATATGAGCATCCTGGCTTCAACTTCACAACCACCATTTCGTTTTGCTTACTGTACAAAAATATAAAGTCCAGGTTACTATGGATGGTGCTTGTTAACCAAGTTTTGAGGCTCACCTGATAATTGGTACATATTCCAAATATGAAACATGACATCTTGGATTGCTGGAAAAAGTAATCTGGAGTACAACTGGAATAATGGAAGTCGTATTTCCACTGATAATAATAGTTATATATATATCTCTCCATTCTTCTATTCGTAGTGCAGATAATCACTGTGGCTCTTAGCCGTTGATTTTAAAAAAACAACCTTATTATTATGTGCTATCTCTTTTGTATTAATTGAATTCCATGTAAAGCTGTCCTAATTAAGAGCCACTGCTACATTTAGACCAAATGGATTGAGAAGATCAAGAAGACAAGGATCCTGCTTACAGCAATTTAATTTGTAATTAAACTCCATTGGCCTGTTTTCTTCTCGCGTGTGGAATAACTAGTACACTAAAAGCAATTATAGGATTGAAATTATGAATACAAAAACTTGGCTGTGCTGCTGGAAAATATGATATGGCAGATTTTCAGAGCCGCAAACTCCATAGGTATAAGGATCATTTGCAATATGAAATGTACTCAAAACATATCTCCCTCCCCCACCTATCTTTCTCTATCTCGCTTGTCTCATCTGCTAAATTTCCTTTCATCCCCAGTCAGTTCTGAAACATTCTCTGCTAGTTTAATATATCCTGCTAAAGTTTTATGTACTAACATTAAATCTATTGACAGAGTGTTAAGTATATCTTCATATGTCAGAGGGGCTTTTTTCAAGAGGCAACCGGACTTTCTGATTTTTTTCTTTGAAGACATTTCACTTCCCATCCAAGAAGCTTCTTCAGCTTGAGTTCTGAAGAAGAACTGAAGAAGCTTCTTGGGTGAGAAGTGAAATGTTTTCACAGAAAAACTAGGAAGTTCAGTTGCCTCTTGAAAAAGCACCTTTAGGACAACCATGACCTGGATGATTGAGAATCTCCATAGACATATATCTTCATATATTTGTTCTTGAACACTGATTTATCTTTTGTAGGGTTGATTTTTGTAGCAGCCATATTAAGCATGAATGAATGATGGCTACATGGATAGCAGTAGTATAACACAGACCAATTAATTCAATTACACTTTATTGTGTTTATTTAAATGTTGCCTCTCAAATTTAATCTCAGTTACAGTTCTGAACTAAAGGACAAAAGACTCTTCTTCCATGCCTCTTTCTGCATTTCAGAACATACTTTTTCTACTTTTTCAGATGTTTGATTGGATCAGCCATAACAAAGAGTTGTTCCTGCAGAGTCACACTGAAATTGGAGTAAGCTATCAACATGCCCTTGACTTACAGACCCAACACAATCATTTTGCTATGAATTCCATGGTGAGTATATAACAGGTTTTCTCTTAGGAGGTATATGAGATAGATATAGTATAAGAGAGTAGGATATGGGGAACCAATTAAAAGAGATGAAAGAATCCACCAAATGCTTGATCAGCAAAAGATCAAATTGATCACCTTGCAGTAGCTTCTTGTTATATAAAATTTAAAAAAAACTGTCTTTGAGAATAGTGCTATCCAATGAAATTTTTACCAAACATACAGGGGTGTCAAATTCAATTTCATTGAGGGTCGCATCAGGGTTGTGTCTGACCTCAGGGGGTGGCGTGGTATGGCCAGGGTGGGCATGGCCAGCTCGACACAGGTTGGGGGCGCCTGTGGTTGCCCAAGTGTTCTGCCAGTGAAAACGGACTCCCGAGTTCCATTCTTGGTTGCAACAGCCTCCTGCAACCCTCTGCCAGCAAAAATGGAGCTTGTGAGGGCCACATGCAGCCCTCCCGAGCTCCATTTTCACTGGCAGAGGCACCACTGTCTCCAAGGTGGCCCCATGGGCCAAATCTAAGCACCCCATTGACTGAACCCGGCCCACAGGACTTGAGTTTGACATCCCTGCAGTATAAAGATGCTTTTAATGTGATCATTAAATTAACTTAATACTCAACTAGTTTAATGTTGTACACATGTGATTTCTGTTTGTATAACTTAATAACATCTTCTAATGAAAATGTCAAATATGACTTGAATGCCTTCTCTGATTACTTAGCCAGTGAAATGCTTATTTTAAACTTTAGTATGAATTCCAATAAACAAATCATTGTCTACTGAAGTTTTCATTTTTATTGCTTTAATATTCAAAAATAAAGGGAGAAAAGAAAAAGAAAAACAGAAATCAAAAACAAGGGACAGCCCACAAACTGCAGGGAAACCTGGCTTCCATTCTCCCAGGCCTTCACTTCATTATGTTTCCATTTTTGGTGTTTTAAAAAAATGTTTAATTGGTTTTATTATTTTTGGGGGGGTTGTTGTGAGCATAAACAGAAAGAAGCTACAGACTGGTGATCCAAGAATGTAAATCAGTACATTAACATCTTTACTAAAATCTTTGGAACACAATATTAATAAGTTTAAACCAAAATAGGCAGTAAGACAAGTACATGTTTATACTGTAAGTAAGCAACTACTCACACTTTTTATATTGCCAATAAAGTGAGGCTATAGCTGACATTTCAACCTTTCTGGGGGTTGGAGGGGTGTCAATAAAAGTGAAAAATAATCTTTTGTTGAATTAGTTTCATTTTAAGATATTCTTTTAGTTCTTGGCCAATGATTGGTTTATATGGCATATTCCAGCTGGTTATTCCAAAGTTCTTGCAAACGATACCCACTTAGCAATATTCATGAATTTTTTTTTTTTATGAAAAAAATACTGTGTTACGTCTACAACTTTTGTTCAATTATGCTAGCTATTTGGGGCTTTAAAATTGTGCTAATGCATCTGAAGTAAACAGTGCTGGGATTCAAAATGTTTTACCAGTTCTGTGGGCGTGGCTTGGTGGGTGTAGTGTGGCTTGGTGGGTGTGGCTTGGTGGGCAAGGCAGGGGAAAGTTACTGCAAAATCTCCATTCCTTCCCCATCCCACTAACCTGCTTTCCAGCTCCGTTCTTCTGTGCAGAGCAACCAAAGAAGACCCAGCTGATCAGCTGGGACTCAGGAGGCAGAGAATAGATGGGGGTGGGGCCAGTCAGAGGTGGCATTTGCCATTTATCCAAATTACTCAAAATTTCCGCTACCGGTTCTCTAGAACTGGTCAGAACCTGTTGAATACCACCTCTGGACGAAAATCAAGAAAAGTTTTAATTAAAAGAACCCCACCATTTTGCAATTTTGTACAATCCCAAATTTATATTTAAACTCAATTTTGATTTAAAAAAAATCTTGACAAGATTTTGATTTAAAGTAGTGCCACCTTGCTTCAAAACTTGATCATAGCAGGAAGCTTGTTATGTAATAAGAGTTGAAGAAGTCACATAATTCTCTGATTATGACCATAATACTTTTTCACAATAAATTATGTTCCATTGAAAATGGAAAATCTAGTTGAGGTTCTTTATGAAAACATTTTTAAAGTATTAATATGCTTAAAATAAATGTATTCATCTAAGGAAATCTCTAAGTAAACAGAACAACCTTGAAATAAGATTAATTGTATTGCTTTTATTTTTCCCATATTGCAGTGGGACTTTTAAACATTTTCCCATGAAATAATTCTTCCTAGATATTTAAAAGCATTCAAGCAACAGTTGAAATCCTAATTATTACAAATTTTCATAGAAACATTAGCTTCCATGGGAATTGTATAACTTACTCCTAATTAATTCAATAACCTCATACATTACTTATATTTATGAAATGTATACACCCCTCAATCAGATCAGTCCGGATTCAACAAATTTGATACAGAAAATACATAAATATAGAAAATACATAAACATCAATGAGACATATCATATCACTAACATTTGATAGCAGTTTGTGTAGTTCCAGCAACTGTTGTACTCAAAATGTTCTCCACTAATAAAGCAGACCAATTGTTTTCATGTGAAATTAAAATAAAAGGATTTCAGGTAAGATTTTCAGCACTCTAGAAGTCAATTCATTTAGTCATGAGAGTTAAATTACCAAACAAAATATGCACCAGACAAAAATGCAATGATGAAATTGTTTTTTTTAATTCTGATACAATCACAACTTTGCATATCCCACATATCCCAATGATCAATTGTTTCCACATTTTACTTGTTGCATTCTTAACACAATCCAGCATGTGGATTGTGGTAGTTGGAATAGGCCTTCTGAATTAAAATATCAGCTGAACTCTTAGGAACCTTTTAGCAATATCCCCATTAATAAAACAGCTATAGTGTGAAATTAAATTTTGGTAGCTGTTAAGAATTCAAAGTCACTAAATAGTATATAGCAATATGTAGATTAAGGATTATTCAGAAACACTTTCTATTACCATAATGCAGTATTACGTCTATAGATTAATATGTTATTAGAAAGGCAAACTGGCTTTAAAATATATTTGGGGATCTCATTAATTTAATTAGTTGCCTAAACCAAGTTACATTTTCCTTCTTAAGCACAAATCACCCCTATTGCCATTGCATATTTAAATAGTTCGCTCCACATGCTGCTTATTCTAATTGAAGCTATTCATAACTGCTTTACAGAAACTGGCTTATGCTTTGATATAACCATTTAGAAGGGGAAGTCGTGACTTGAGAAAAGTGTGAATGCTGTTTTCAAACATGTCTATATTAGCCTACCCAAACCAATTTGCCAAAAATTAGGTAACTTGTACTTTTTTTCCTGAAGTTATAGAGCATAGGAAAGGATTACAATTTTCCATTAACGTAGCACCTTTTTACAATTTCATTTTAATCATATAAATTCTTTTGTCCCCATGCTCTTGCCTTAACTCCTTCATGTGATTTCATATATATATATATATATATATATATATATATATATATATATATATATATGTATGTATGTATGTATGTATGTATGTATGTATGTATGTATGTATGTATGTATATTTCTTAAGTTTTTGCGGGTACTTACATGTATGGTATTCAGCTTTGTTGGGTATTTTCCCAAGTCATTATAGTTGTGCTTTTAAAGTAGCAACGTTTCAGCAGAATCTCATCTGCCACAGACGAACTCAGTACAGAAGCCTGATGATGGCAGATGAGATTCTGCCAAAACGTTGCTACAACTTTAAAAGCACAACTACAATGACGTGGGAAAATACCCGAACAAAGCTGAATACCATATATGTATATATATTAAAGAAACAATTTCAAATTTGCTGTAATTCTTTTAATGGCCCTGGGGTTTTTATAATCCCCTTGGCCCTCAGAAGTGGTCAAATGCTTCAAAACAAATAATAATTCAGCTTACATCATGTTAATACTGATCTCTTTCTAGCATCAGGAAAAAGAGCTTCTTTTTGTGGAAATAATTGGCTTCTTCTGGTAATGGGTTCTGCACATTTTGCCTCTGTCGCAGGACAAATATTTACTATATTTACTGTAAATCAGGAAAAAAAGAGAATAATTTCAATTGGACTATTTTATAATCATTGTACTAAAAAACGCTCCTTTTTGCACATATAGAAAATTAGGAACACTTTGTATTATGTCTGTACATAGACTGAAATTTGTTGGTATGATCTTTAACAAAATGGTATTTTGGTGCCTTTATTTATATACTTCAGAACAGTGGTCCCCAACCTTTTGGGCACTAGGGACAGGTTCTGTGGAGAAAGGTTTTGGGCATGGTTTTATGTGCTGCCTGATCCTGCAGATAGGCTTCGCTTGTTTATGTGGCCCGGTTTCTAGCATGCTGCAGCATGGTATGGCTCCATGGATCAGAGATTGGAGACCCTGCCTCAAAAAATGAACTGCATAATCAGAGAAATGATGTTGCCAGAATGGATTACATTATGCTGTAGATGGGCTTTTTAAATACTTCCAACATGAAAATGGCACAGTAAATCAGAAGTGTTCCAACCAATCTTTTTTGACCAGGTTTATCTTCAGATGCAGAAAACACTGCACAAAGAATGTTCTTCTCCAACCTCAATGCCCTCACTCCTCCTGACATGTGGAATTCAGCTTCTAAATTCTCACCAATAATCAGGCTGGATGGGGAATTCTGGGAGATAAAACATCCATACATATGGACCGTGCCCAAGAAGGCTAATATAGGGACTGTATTCAGACACTGCATCTTTTATCTGCAGATTGATTACATGTTGCATCAATACAAACTTTGCCATATGATTTTGTTGACTATTCAGCTTGACTTTTAGATTCTTTTCACTGCTACTTTGATTGTAAACGTCCTTCTTGCCATCCTCAACTGTCTCCTTTTAAAATATTTTATTGGATTTTGTGATGGAATGTCTGGAGTCCTAAGAGAGAGGGGCTGTTTTTCAGAGGGCGAAGAATTTCTAAAGGAGCTTAGAAAGTCTGGTTGACAGGAAAGGTGGCCCTGCCCTAGCAATTCACAGAGTATATCTATAGATATGCAGAGAGTAGCTTTAGTCTGGCAAGATTCTGTCTGTAGGTGAACAGCAATAAGGAAAGTATAATTTTTGTATTGATTGTACTAAAGTATAAATTTCAGTTCTCCCGTTTGATTTTTCGCTTCAGAATGCCTACGTGAATATAAATCGCATCATGTCCGTTGCATCCAGGCTCTCAGAGGCTGGCCACTATGCATCTCAACAAATTAAGCAGATTTCCACACAGCTAGATCAAGAGTGGAAGAGCTTTGCTGCAGCACTGGATGAGCGTAGCACTATCCTGGCCATGTCTGCTGTGTTCCACCAGAAGGCTGAACAGGTATGTAATTTTTACTGAGTCAGATGCCTTTCTGCCTTGTCTGTGGCTTTGATCTAGTTTAAATCACCATCAATATAATAAATAGAACCTGTGTATTCCTCGCATTTTCCGACTGTTTCAAGAACTATGAGTCGGCAATTGTTTTGAGGCTCCTCTCCCCTCTCCCAAAAATCTTTCTCCAGCCTGTTCAATACAGTGTATCTCTTTTTCTATTGGCTTAGGCTAGATAGAGTGACGTGAGAGTGGAGTGTTAAGAGAAAAGCTCATGGCCACACAAAGGAACACTGTTCACAGCTGCATGCTAACCTACTTAGTGGGCTTAGGCTGCTTTTTTAAAAAATCTGTTATAGAAAGTTGAAAATTCATGCATTTAATTTAAAACCCATGTGTCAATAAATATGCTGTGCTTTATTTTTTAGACAAGCAAAACAATGGTTGAGTTTTGTTACTACATTCACCGTATAGGTGTTGGTAACGCAAAGATGAGTACATGCAACATCTATTACCACCGCTTTGGTTTGGCTAGCTTGTGCATGCTTTTCTGCTCTAGTGACATTGAAGTTCTGTGCTTAGCACATGTACATCTTAAAGAATTCGGTAGAAGCTCTTAACTAACTGATCTTCTGGCTGCTATTTCACTTATTTTTCAATCACAATTATTATTTTTTTTTAGAAAAATGATTTCAAATATATTTTTAAAATATTCTGTTGTCCCTGCCAGTTTGTGGCAATAGGTTGCCTTCCGATCTTTTGTCCCACATGGTGTCACTGTTGCCTACAAAGAGATCCCGATAAAAGAGGTTTTCTTTGTCCAATTGATTAATGCTTAAGATATGTGAAGAAGAGGGGTACAGCAGAGCTCTAGTATTAAATATTTAGGTATCATCTTTTCTTTTCTTTTTTTGCAACACTCTCCAGTACCTCTGTGTCACACCTGCTGTACTCTCTAGGACTCTTTTTTTTTTTTTTAAGAAAAGATGAAATCTTTGGATTCATCAGTGTTCATGTTTGAAAGGAATACATCTTAGTATAACTCATGTAACTAAGGAAAGCCACAACTTGTGTAATTATGGAGAGCCAGGTATCCCAGTGATACATAATACTGTACATAGTTTTATCTGATTAGACCAAATTTTTTTCTCACTCCTTTTTCATGTTTGTAGCAATTTCATTTATACCAATCTTTAAAACTTTGCCATTTTCTTTTTGTGATGTTTTGGAGTTCATATGATATAAAAACATTCTTCCCCTTTTATGTACAGAAAGTTCATTTTAATATAACTAAGATGTAATACAGGATTCATGAACAAGGAGGGAATAACTAATGGATCATAAATTTGATTCAGAAGGATATGTTTTTCCTATTAACATAATACGCCATAACCCATTTCAAACTTTTTTGGGGTGGAAGGGGGTAACATCCACTGAAATCAGTAGAATATTTTACCATTTAATTATCTATTGGATATCACTGCATTTAAATTACTTTAATTTGTTGTTCTTTAAAAACTGAAAATCGCTAGTTAACTTGTGGCCACTGAAATTCAGTTTGAACAGGAAAGTTCCGTGAATTTCAGGAACGTGCTCAGGATTCACTGAGCCGTGGTGGCGCAGTGGTTAGAATGCAGTACTGCAGGCTAACTCACTGTTCACTCCTGGAGTTGGATTCTGAGCAGCTCAAAGTTGGCTCAGCCTTCCAACCTTCCAAGGTGGGTAAAATGAGGACCCAGATTGTTGGGGGCAATAGGCTGACTCTGTCTGTAAGCCACTTAGAGAGGGTTGTAAGGCACTATGAAGCAGTATAGAAGTCTAAGTGCTATTGCTATTAATAATTGTAGAATCTGGAGTTTTTAATTCTGAAAAGGAAGAGCAACCGTGAGAACAAATTAATTATAGTATTTTATACTAAATTGGTTAATTAATCTAGCTCAGTGTTGTTTGTCTAGACTTTCAGGAGCACTCTATTAATTCGTACTGAGAGCTGCTTTTAGTTTTCCCGTTAAGATTCTTTTGTACATAAGTTGTGTAGGATTGAACCTGTTATCTTTCTATAAAACAGGGTGCTTCTGAACTAAATATTTTTGTCTGGAAGCATATTTTGTCTTAGAACATCTTCTGAAGGAAGACTAGTTCAGCTATTGCTTGACAATTTCCTTCACTTTCCTTTCCTCCAAAAGTATCATTTGTTTTTTTCTCTTTTCCCTTTACTTTTGCTAACATAGTCCCATAAATAATAACAGCAACAGCCTAAACATGGGGATCTTGAATAATTGAGAATAGGAAGCCTTTGGACAATTCAATCAAAATATAATCTGAAATTGCCTTTTTAATCCTGTGAGATTGTAATACCAATAAAGCAACACGAAAGATCTCGGGCTTTCTTTGCTCTCCTTTTCCTTCCCTTCAGCAGAATGCAATCTCTTTGCAGACAGAAATTCATCTCTCTGATGAGGAGGAAGATCGTAGAATAGTAGTGATTGGTTCTGGTTTAAATTGCCGGAAGTCATCTCCATAAGAAAAGCATGATAGATCATAGCACAAGCTGGTGTTGTTCATCCATGCTATTCGGATGTAACTTCAGCCCCAGACTGTTACTCCTTTTGATTGATGTCTGTTGTCATGTATATGTGCCAGTTTAATTTTTATCACTGAATGCTTTTTACTTTTGAAATAATCCTATGCTGCATATCTCCGCTCCTTTGTAAGGAGAGACAATAGATAATTAAATACATGTACAATAATCATTGATTGAATGATTATTGATTAATTATGTGCTGTCAAGTCATTGTCAACTCCTAAGAACCACTTAGATAAATTTCCTGCATGAACAATGCTCATTGTTCATTTTAATTATCGAATTTATTTAGAATGTGTTAATATGTTGAATGAAGGAGGACTTTGTTCCTTAATAAAATTGGAGTTGGATTTTCTTTTTAATCTAATTGGTGCATTGCTTGATTATCCTATTAGACATTGCAAGCTTGCAATACGTTCTTTTGGGATAAGAATGTTTGAGATAATAAACTTCAGGGAGCATAGCATTTCAGGAGCCAGATACAGGTGAAACACTTTGACAGCAGATTAGAAACCTTGTATTACAGGGTTTTTTAAATATTTCTCAAATGTTGGAGCTGTTGGCTATTTTTTTATTATTATACTGTTAAACTCCTTAAGCACAACAGAATGAGTAATATATAATGTAATTTAAAAAAATATGGGAAGATTAGTAAGAAGTAATGAAGCACACTTAAGTGTGAGATTGTGAAGAGGTTTATCAGTGTGTCATGTTCCATTTGAAATAAAATAATTATTGATCAAGACTTTTGATATATCAGAAAGGCAAATGTGATCAAAGTGTGCATATATCATGGATGTAGGACTTTGAAGCCAACTCAAGTGATTTCTTATAGCTGATCTGTGATCTTAAAAACTATTATGAAATATAGATTATGGATCTAATTTCTAATACTTACCTGAAAATTCATTTGTCTTAAAACAATTATTCCATCTTGATAATACGTAATGGCTGTGCTTCATTTGGTTGTTTCCACTAGAATCCACTTGGGTTCTGGCAAATTAATATGTATCACAGAGCTCATACGGACTTGTTACAACAGGTCAACATCCATTTTTGGAGGGCAAAAATATATATTACCTTTTAGGATTTCTCGCTCATTGGCAAAATGACCTCTGGTATATTTTCCATGTTCCACTTCTCAAAGCATTTCTCTGCTTTGGATGGTGCACTAAATTTGTTGCAGGGTGACCTCAAATATTTCATTGGCTATTTTGCAGAGGCAACAATTCCCCATCAAATGAACCAGTGGCTACAAGTTTAGCCCATTAATGGTGTTTTGAGTTACCTTTATCAAAAAAAACTACAATAGCACAATGGTTATAAAACATACTTTATAAAATTTACTGGTTTGAAACTTAGTAGAATTTTTGTTTAAATTACTTTTTTTCCTGTCCCTGGGCTTCCTATTTTTCTCTGTTTTTTTTTTAATGTCCAACATTGCAGAATTTCATCATTTCTCCAGTCACCAGAAACAGCAGAGTTGTACCCCAGCTCCCAAATAAAGATTATTTGGGTTCTTTGAATGCTGAGGTTAAACCATTCTGTCTTGAGCGTCTAAAAATAAAAATTCTAATTTGTTTTAAGATTAATTTGTATTTGTGTATGTGTCTGTGGGGGGAGGGAGAGAGGAGAGGGAAAGGAGGGAGGGAGAGAGAGAGAAGTAATATTTTGGCTGCCTTATGAATTAATAATAAATTCTCCTAAATTAACTGCAATTATCTAAAGCAATTAGTTTCCTTCCACATAATTTGGATTCCTATTTTTGTTTTGCCCTCACAATAATGTTTTTTTTTTCTTAAAGGCAGCAAAAAATACAGCTTTTTATTTGCTTTTGGGGAGTGGAGGTAGGGGAAGAATCCTTTTACAGATGATTTTGAAATTTTGGAAGTTGTCCAAAATTGTTTGGGAACTAAAGAATTTAATGAAAAACAAGCCAGAGCCCTCTTGAGTCTATCAAATGAATTATGAAGTGATGTGTATTCTGGACCACATTTCAACTAGAAAATGGCATTATAGTTTTGCTGGCTGTGCTGTGTTATGCTACGTTTGCATTATTACATGTTTTTGTTAGAGATGGAAAGAGATGGTGGTTTGTTTGTTTTTTTAGAGATGGTGTTATTTTTTTATTTTGGTACTTAAGTAAGCTGTTAGATTTTTGGTAACGAAATAAATTCTTCTTGCAATTCTTTCAGTTTTTGTCTGGTGTAGATGCCTGGTGTAAAATGTGCAGTGAAGGAGGTCTCCCCTCGGAAATGCAAAACCTGGAATTGGCCATCCATCATCATCAGTCTCTTTATGAACAGGTCACTCAGGCTTACACTGAGGTGAGTGTTTCTAGACGGATTTTTAATAATCACCAGGAGATTTCACAATGTAATTAACAGAGATGGTTGAATATGCAAAAGGAGAACTGGGGGTTATGAGCTACATAATTTATATGACGTGTTCATCTGGTTTTTCATTCCATGCTGATATATTAAATAGCCTAGCTAATGGATCTTCTGTAATTTTTTCCCTAGTACTATCAAGTTTCTTATTCAGCTCAGAAGATGGTGCAATTTATGCTTGTATTTAGAAGTAATCTCATTTTCTTATTCCAGAAATGTCTGTATAGGATTGTAGCCTGAGTTACAGGCTACAACAGACTTTACTTAGGAGTGTAAAATCATTTTCAAGCTGTGTGATTCTAATAGCAATTTTAGGAATCCCATGGTGTAAAAAATACTGTCCTCAGGAAGATGAGTGATGCAATCCAAGCAATTAGCATCAAGTAAGTTATAGTGGACGTAGTCTTCAGAATTCCCTAATACAGGACTGTCAAACTCAAGGCCTGGGGGCTGGATTCGGCCTGTCGGGTGCTTAGATGTGGCCTATGGGGCTGCCCTGGAAACAGAGAAGGACTGGCTCACGGTGCTTCTGCCAGAGAAAACAAAGCTCAGTGAGACTACGCAAGGCCCTCACAGGCTCTTTTCGACTGTGATGGCCTCCTGCAATCCTCTGCCAGAAAAAAATGGAGCTCACAGAGGCCGCACACTCCATTTTCACTGGCAGAGGGCTGCAGGAGGCCGTCACAGTCGAAAACGGAGCTTCGACGACTGCTGTTGAGCTGGCCAGGCCCACACTGGCCATGCCTCTGGCTATCCCCAGCCACCCTGAGATCAAACACAACCCTGATGCTGCCCTCAATGAAATCGAGTATGTTCCCTCTGCTCTAATACAAACCTATATAGTTTGGAATCATTTGTTCAAGAATGAATTTGCTTGCTTGACATGGTCTAGTTCAGGGAGAATACTGTGGATAGCCAACCCATCTCTTCCAAGGAATCAAAAGGGCTAAGAAAATAAACAATCACTTCTGAATTGCATGCAGAAATTAATCACTAGTCAATGAAGCATTGATGTTAAGTGATAATAATGATTATCTAGTAAATATATAGGGCTGCTATATTTTGCACCATGATATTTTCAAGTATTCCTTATATTGGAAATCACAAGGGTATAATCAGTACCCTGTTCTAGATAAGGCCATAATTGGGGCACCAACTTGAGCAAAGGCCTTCCTGTTGCAATAGGAGCCATGAATTCAGAAGAACCCTGAATTTGCAGGTCTGCTCTTTGTAGGAGAACACATCCCTATCATGACTCAAAGATAATGTGACTGTTTCTTCCACATCCTTTATTTCAAGACATTTTATACGGAAGGAAGGAAGGAAGGGAGGGAGGGAGGGAGGGAGGGAGGGAGGGAGGAAGGAAGGAAGGAAGGAAGGAAGGAAGGAAGGAAGGAAATATATGATTTAGAACTTAATTATCTGGGAATTTTCTAGGTTTTGCTTCAGTTCTAATATCTGCTAGTTAATTAATTTTTGCTAATTAATTAAATATGGATTGAGGGTGAGTTTCACTTTTAAATGTATGAGAATATAACAACTCAATTTTCTTTTGAAACTTCTCCAACCAAATAACAACTGAGTAAACTAAAGAGTATTACATTCTTCCATATGACATTTTCACCATGGCTGCATTTTTTTACAAATATATTTTATTTATCAAAATTTTTGGTCTGCCTAATAACTTCAGGTATGTCTCAATAGACATGTAACAATAAGAGGAAAACACCTTTTTACCAGAAACAATGCAACTGGTTTCCTGAGATGAAAGTGCATTTGCAAATTATTTACTTGAAATCATTTATCAATGTCTTTCAGAGATTCAATTCTAACCAAATTTACAGAAGCAGCAAAAAAAGAGATCCTTCCAAATTATATTTGACTTTTAACAAACAGTATACATGCAAAATATCTGGTACAATCAGTTTTTAACAGCTTGACAGAAATCTCCTCCTGTATCTTTCAGGTAAGTCAGGATGGAAAAGCTTTGCTGGATGTCCTGCAACGTCCCTTGAGTCCTGGAAACTCAGAATCCCTCACTGCTACAGCAAATTATTCCAAGGCTGTTCACCAAGTTTTGGATGTGGTCCATGAGGTCTTACATCACCAGCGACGCTTGGAGAGCATCTGGCAACACAGGAAGGTTCGGTTACATCAGCGGCTTCAACTTTGTGTTTTCCAGCAAGATGTTCAGCAGGTAATATAATAGCTTATTCATATGCAAAGCAATGATTAAATATAGTCCTGTTCTCCACAAACAATGCTATCTCCATCATTAAGGACAATTCCTATAGACTTTAACCAGTATGATCCAAGGTAACAAGGGAATTCTGGGAATCATAGTCCAATACAACTACAGGAAGCCACATAAAGGAAGAATGTTACGGGATAAAGACAACCTGATGATATGAGGGCCAATTTAAATATATGTATGTATGTATGTATGTATGTATGTATGTATGTATGTATGTATATGTATATGTATATGTATATGTATGCCAAGCTGAATGCCATATATATATATATATATATATAT